ACACAGTTAATACCGGGCTGTGTCGAAAGCCGTGTTTCCATGTCGCTGTAGCTGAAGTGGAATAAATGACCTTGGTTCTTCTACATCAGCCAGGATACCCACGAAAGCAAACGCTGTCTCCTTAGTCGCACCGTAATCTTTTGAAAATTGAAAACAAAAACATTTCATTAAGATTCAAAGTGTTACATGCACGCTATAAAGCAATGTGTGCAGTTAATTCAAAGGCATAAAAAAGCTAATGGACTATTATAGTCTACTGCCTGAGGCTGTCTTTTCTCCTCGCAGAAGAAGTACATCAATCACTTCTATCAGTAATCCCCTGCAAGCTGCCAGCGCTGTCTGTGCTTCCCGCTAGAGAAGCTGTCTCTTCCGTAGAAGCGCCATCAGATGTGGCTGAAGTTGACACATTAACAGATAAACTGCCCCCACTCTCCTACCACTATCACTACATTCTGCCCTCGGTCTTCGGAGATATTGATGGGAGGGAGCAGTCGATGAGACAAAAGCAGTGACAGAGGAGGCGCTCGAGGGGTCGAGCTAAGCTGCCGCGTGTTTGTTCTTCCTGGCTTGTCCTCTTACCTGGAGGATAAATGATAAGATGGGTCACAGATGAAAGCGCCTTCAGGATTGCGCTTTGCTGTAGGCGTCTACAAGCTCGTAGTTATATAAACAGTGACTGTTAAAGTTTTCAAGTAAGTCTGTTTGTTTGTCGGTAACGGCTCAGGGCGGCTTAAAGTGACATCAGATGTTTGCTGAAGAGGAGATTTAGTGCACTCAGCCGCATAACACATACAGTTTTTTTTTTGAATGTCTTTGTCAATACGGGACTCTGCTACAAAGGAAATGAAAGAAAGGAGGGAAAAAAGTGGTTGCATCCCTTTGTTACACTCCACTAAGCTGGTTTACTGCATTTGTTGTTGGAAGGCTGGTGGTCGTCCCTGGGGCTTTGAATGAAAACACATTTCTCCTCTGGCTACAGCTGCTGCATATCCATGTGCAAACAGCCAGCAGATGTGTCTTGATCCAGCTCCTCCATCCCAGCACCAGTTTCCTTCCAACTTCACATTTACCTGATCATCTCCTGTCCCGGTTGTAGAGCAAATGATCTCTCCTGAGCAATCACCATTGTTTTGTTCCAGACCAATAAGATAATTCATGTTGACTCTGTGCATATGGAACACTTTTGGCCTTGAAGCACTTGCAGAGCTGCTTTGGACTTGATAAACACTACAGCTGCTAAATAATTTGTTGCAAACAGATCTTGTTTACCAGCACGTGTTTATGAATGAATATGTATTTGCGTGCTTTGCATGCACACTTGAGGAGGATAGCTGATTCCCGCATAACTACATTTGAATGTGTGATGAAACTTTAAGAGGCTACAGCTTGTTCGGGCTGTTAATTTGTAAAGAAACAGTGTTTGTGGAATTTAGCCAATTTCCAGTTTTAGTGTAGGAACTCACCTTAAGCATCATTAAGCATGCAGATTGATGGTGTACTTTGTGGATAATAAAGCAAAAGTGTGCTGAAGGCAGATATTCAGTGTAAGAATATCTGAGAATATCGAGGGAGCTGCAGCCAGGCTTATAGAACCCCTTCCCATCTGTCAGATAGGACTACAGATCCACACAAATAACATAGGCAGTGTGTCTAACTGGATAGACATCAGTCAAGGGGACACAAGAAGGATGGCAGCATCCCTCATGGAGTTAAAGCTACTTAATATTCTTGTGTTTATTGGGGATTAATTGTTCCATCTGTCTCTCATATAAACCAGTGAACAAAATAGAAAAACAACACAACCTTCCCTCCCTGTTTTTTCCCTGATAGATTTCTGGTTTCCGTTTGGCTGTGAGTATGACTCGTTAAACGGTGAGGCTTGGAGGAGAAGGAGGAGGAGCCTGGACTGGACAGTCTGAACAAGGGGGAGAGCTGGAAAATTTAATCATTTTTCTTTGGGTCTGTCATACGCTATGGGCTGCCTCATTTGTCTGCTCCAACTCCTTTGTTTCCAGCAGACTCTCTGTTCAAGGATTAGGCTACAGAGCAAGAGACATGCAACAAAAGAGGGAAGAACGAGAGACAGTCAAAGGAGCTATATAAGCTAATTACAACAGTACTCCATGTTTCTTTAATACAGTACTTATGTGTAAGGTATTTGCTGCAGTACTTAAGAACTGCTGAATGGCCAAGAATGAAAGCAAGAAAGATTTAAGTGGGGGCAATTGCTAGATTCAAAGTGAATAAGAGGTATGTTTTGTGGGTGGAATACCTGAAAACCTAAGAGTGGGTGCCTTGGAACTTTTTTTGATTTTAACAACAGTGAAAAGCTTTTATTGTCATTGGGTGGAAATATTTAACCTTAAAATGTGTTTTGGCATAAAAGCCTTTGTTTGGGAGTCAGTTAAGGGCATTAGGTTGTGCATTTCAATTGTAATTACAGGTAGGAGTGAAGCCGGGATGAGAGAGGCTGCACGACTGCTTTTTTTGTACCTTCACGTTGCCCACAGTTGAACAACAGATCTGTTGACCGAGTTTATCTCCTGCTGAGGTGATTAATGTAAGTTTGCTGCAAACAAAGGTCACATCAGGAGGCAGGGGAGCAGGCCAGAGCACAAGAGCTAAGAGAGTTATATATGGCTACAGTTACTGCTGAGAAAAGAAGCTGTTTATTCTTTGTAGGGCATCCCTCAGTCTCTGGGGATTTACGTGGAGAATTAAAAGGAATAACACAGACACATCCAGGAACGAACTAAGTAGAACAGCAGAGCAGCACTGCTGTGGCATAACAGTTATAATATCCATTGTCCTACGCTGTTTATCCCCCTATAAATATTTTTATATTTACTGCCAGTACATAATGGTGTTAGTTATGGGGATGGCAAACAGATGAAATTATAGCAGTGCTGTGCTGATGAAGATTTATTTACTTGTCTTCTGTGGCACTTGTGGGGTAGCCTTTTAATGCTACCAGGAAAAACCAAGTCCACATGATGCTGTAGGGACTTTCTTCATAAAATCTCTCCAGTTCTTGTGAAGTGTAGTCACAAATTACTAAAAGTGCTCCTTGAAGGAGAAGAAGTGTTACTACTCCTCAGATGGTGTCCTAGGATGTCGGTGATGTGCGTATGTGTGAATTGCCCAATTTGGGAGTTGCCAAATGGGGATATTTCTTTCTTCTTCTTCTTTTTTTTCTTTAGTCTTTTCTGTTCATTTGTGCACATAATGGAGCGGTTACTGAGTGTGGAGTCCCCTTAAGGGTGAAATAGGGTATCTCAAGATATTAGATATATGTCTTCATTATCTGGATAGTTTCAGCTGTTCGAAACTTTAAAGATGATTACGCAGCACTTCGACTGTCTTTTTTTTCTTCAAATCTCAGGTTCCAACTCTTTGTGAAGGATAATATAAGGTGAATACTTTTTGGTGTGGTCAGCTTTTGAGTCGTGGGACTTTGTTCTGGCTTTTTCTATCAGCCAATAAGTCAATTACAAATAAGTGATGATAACAATAAAATAAAAGACAAATATTTGCTTGGCTCCATAATCCAATCCAACTAGTTGCGTATAGCTCAAATGGGATTTATGAGGACTTGGAAACATCCATGCTTTACACACAGTTAATGCTGTGTGGTCCTGTCAGTACAAAAGCATGTTGAGTCATTTCATTCAAACGCAGGAGTAAAGAATTGGTGGTGGGATTTCTGGGTTTATAAATATAAACCACCTCTGTCGGACTTCCCAGGTGTGTTCTTTGTCTCTAATGTTCGTTTAGAGGCAGTACATGCACACAGTCAGTTGCTGTAAAACTACCAGCTGCTTATGAATTTAGGTCATTTTGTTACAGTAAGAAGTAGACTCTGTGTGTGTGTTTATTTCTGCCACAACTTTGCATTTTAAAGAGTTTGTAATTCACACCCAGAAACACTGCCGCTTTTGAGTTTCCCAGGCTCGCTGTGTCTTTCCACAGCTGACACTTGTGAATATAAATGCCTTCTTTTAAGTTTGCAGTGTGAGCAAAATACTCCCGTCCAAAGCCACATTTAAATGCAACAGTAACTGTAATTATCCTGCGTCTACCTTATTTTCCCTCTTACTTTTCTGCCGTTATCTAAATTATAATCTCTGGCTTGAGCATTTATACCAAAGCACATTCTCTGGGGTATTCCACAGCCAGAGTTTCTCCTGCAAAGAAATTACTGGTGCTAAATGAAGCAATGATTTTCTTTATACGTTCCAGCTGTAGTGCAAATGGTTTTCAGTCTGCCAGAAAATCCAGTTCTTTTTCGGGAGATGAGGTTGAAGATGGAATGAGTGGACAGAGGCCGTTTGGGTTTTGATCTAACAGCCTAATTATGTTGCATCACACTGATTGTGTGCGTGCTTTCCACTGTTATATTCATTAAGATGCCTTTTTGATCATATATTGAGAAGACATCTATCATCTCCACCTTTAATGAGTCAGTAAACTGGGTAGAGAAGTTTAGAAGAATGCATTAAGATTGGGGTTTTTTTAACATGTGGTGCATTTTTACTGCTAAACAGTACTCCGTTGGTGTAGGTGAGGGGCACTGCTTAGAGTAGAGCATGCAGGGAGCATGATACACAAAGAGCAATGCCTTTGGTGTACAGGCAGTGATCTTTTCTATTCTCTCATGTGCTCAAATGAACATTGCTAAGTTGTAGTGGCAGAGTACATTTTGTTTCATTCAAATGATACAGATATTTGCATTGTCTAGAAAAGTCCAGAAGCTGCTGTGCATGTATGAAAACAGCTTTAGTTTGTCATCGTCTCTGCTTTAGCGTGCTCGGCAAAAATGCAGATAAGCCTGGCATAGGCTTTGCGCTTATGTCACTTTTCCCAGGTTTTTAGTCTCAGTATTCACATGTGAAATTCAGTACTGTAGAACCACTTAATTATAGTATCTTTACACATTTTTATGCCAAAAAGTTGTCAAAATAAGCGCACAAAAGAATGCAATTTTTCACTGTTATTCTCAGGTGAATGGAAAAGAGTTGTCCAAGTCCAGCCATGAAGAGACTGTGGAAGCCTTTCGCCCTGCCAAGGACCCCGTCGTGGTGCAGGTCATCCGGCGGACCCCCAGCGGGCGCCCCCATGGCCCCCCTCAGGAAATCCATGTGGTGGATGTGTGCACTCAGACTGACATCACCTTTGAACACATCATGGCGCTGGCAAAACTCCGGCCTTCAACCCCTCCTGTGCCTGACGTCTGTCCCTTCCTGCTCTCTGACAGGTATGCAGAAAATGTAAAGCTTAAAAAGATCGGGAGCCCTGCTTTCACAGAGTAAAGGACTGTGAGCATCGCAACAAATAGTTATTATGTTTTAGCAACAAGTGATTTTATATTATTTCTTGATTTTTTTTTTTTATTTATTTAGATTTACGCCACTATGAAGTTTTAGGTTTGCTGCAGCAGATAGCGATACAGAGTTAGTTGTTGTGTCCTTGTCTGACTTTGGCTGAGGCTGACAATAATTAAGGATGGGGGAAAATGAGCAATGTCCTTGAGCCATGAAGCAGAAATATCAGCGTTTGTAGGATTAGCATTACAAGTCTGGAGGACGACTGTTTATTATAAATAAATTGCCTAACCAGACGCGCAGTTTATTCTGACAAATAGAGATTTGTTTGAATGGGCGTCTTAGAACGATTCATTTCCTGCTTCACAAATACGAGGAAATGGGGAAAAAAAGAAACAAAAGACAAATTGTGGACAGTTTAAAGTGGTTCTGATTAGCCAAGCGTGCTACATGTATCACTAGGCAGATAAAGTCCAAGATCACAAATAAATGTTGTTATAGATACAACATCCTCTAGACTTTGAGGATCTGAACTAGCAGTGTACTACTTAAAAATTTACAAGGGGGATAGTAGCTGGGTGGCAGATGAAAAACTGCAATAATAAGTCAACAGAGATTATTTTTTCAGTAGTCAGACTAAATATATTTTGAGTTAAATTTCTATATATTTAGAGAAAATAGAACTAATGTAACTATGTATAATTTGTGGATGTCAGTCTGATCGTATCTCAACAGCTCAAGCGTTTGCTGGGTTGTACATCACTTCAAAGCCAAGTTGGGGGTTTTTTCCCTTTTTTTTATTGTTTGTGAGAGCAATCCATTAAAAGATCTCCAGAGTTTGAAGCATCAACAAGAGGTTTTGCTGGAAAACAACAAAGGAAACATGGCTCCTTATTTCATCTTTTGGCATTTTAGTTTATGTGTTATGTGTTGTGTTTATCTCAGAGGAGAAGTAAAGTGTGTACAAGAAAAGTTTAGCATAAAAGAATATCTAGGTTTCACCTCGAGGGAATGAGCGAGAGCAACACTGCAGCTTTATTGCACAGAGCCGAGAAATTAAGACTGCCCCATTGTTTGGTACAGTAGACGATTAATTCCAAAAACACTACACATTTTGAGTTGTATATTTCTTGTCATTGGAAGCTTGCGTAAGTATTCATTCAGTTAAAGCAACTGTGTGTCAATATTGGAGATGTTATTTAAAAAAAACTGTCTGGGTAAGTATCTTGCATGCACGATATATATATCTATATATACTCAGTGTCACCATAGAAATCCTCACAGGAACTTCTGGCCTTAATTGGAGCTGCTTGGGATATCATTTTGCCTCATGGAAGGTTTACAAGGTGATTAAAGCAAATGGGCTAATAAAAAAAGCTAGGCAACACAAAGGAATGTATGCCCGATCCTCACAGCCCCAGGCCAAGTCTGAATGTAATCAATGTGACCCATAAAACTCACATTTTCTTCTCTTCATCTGAGATTAGGTGCACAATCCAATATACGGCAGGTTTTATAGCTATAACAAAGGTTTTGGCATCTTATATTTGGGGCTAGATTGTAAATTTGTAATTGTGTTCTTTGCACCCACTGCCAAATGTTGTTACATGAATAATATTGAGCCATCAAGCATTCTGACATTTACCAGTCTGTTTTTTTATCACTGGAAGGTTGTTTTGAGACAGTTTTACAGTCCTGGGTAATCTGGGAGTCAGACAGCCCCTGGAAACATCACTCAACGTGTTTGACAGAGTGTCTTTTTGAGGTTTTTGTCCACCGTGATTATCCTGTGCGGCACCAAAACTTGTTCGTCGCGTTAGGCCCTCACAATGCTGTTTTGTTCTGTGACTGAGGGAGGCATAATAGAATTACACTTTACAGTGTGGGGGGTTTTGTCTGTCAAGAGCAGGAAGCAAATTACAGTATGTGGATATGCTGTTATTAACACTCCAGCACCAATGAAAGCTCTTGACAAATCCTTTCTTCTTCAGATTTCAGCTAAGACAAAAGCAACTAAGTCCTGTCACTGTCAAACTGAGGAAAAGCATCTTGCTTACACCAAAATCTCCTTTCTGTTTCCCTGGCTCCCTGTCCATCCCTTTTGACAGCTGTCATTCCCTTCATACAATGGACCAGGATTACTACGAAGGGACTGACTACCTCTCCCCTGTACCCGCTGATGGAGACAGGACAGAGGAGTTTGAGTATGAGGTAAGACTGATACTTGATATCGGTGCCAACTGGAATGGTCAATATTAGCTATAAGGGATTATTATCAAAAGTGTATGCATGCGAGTAGGATCCCTGCACAGGTGTGAATTGTACATCTACATTCCTCAAAAGGCGACAAGATAAAGTAGAAAACTTCCAAGTGCACCCGTTCTTGCTTGAGATTTGTAAGTTGTTTTCATGTGTCCGGAAGAGAAACCGAGGGAGCTGTTTGACTGAGTATGATCAAACCCAATTAAAGTGAGGTGTGTGCGGCAGCTGCTAGCAAGAAAAAAAAATCTTTGCTTATGCGTCTTTCCCAAAGTGTAAGTAAGGGAAACAGTAGGATAGGTGATGCTTTGGAGGCTAATGATCTCTAGCGCGTTAGAGAATCACTGATTCAGGGACAGGAAGTGATAAACAGACTGTGTCTGTTAACCGCTTTGGTCCAATATTCTTTATTTCCGAGTCGTTGAGGTGTGAGCACAAAGTCAGCGAGGGCTCCTCTGGTCTGATGTATGATGATTGCTCACCCCTCCCTCCTCCTATTTGTTTCATTGAATTTGTTCTGAATGTTTTCACCCACTGAGGTTGAGCTGTTTCTTCACATCCTAAAGAGATTTGTGCACCCATTTGGATCGCAGAGGCTTGAGTGTCAAATCGGAACAAATATAATGTATTAAAGCATCTTTTTACGCCTCATTGGTATTAGCAAATCCTATTATACTCTGTGTGCTTTGCAGCCTTTCCACTTTCTTTTTTTTATTTTTTTAAATGCTTGCAGGGTTTTATACTACCCTGATGTTGTTCCACTTACTGTATGTCGACTGAAAATGCTGTGAGAGGGATATGGGCAGAAGCTGAAAAGCCACTTTCAGAGTAGATACAGTGGGGCAAAAAAGTATTTAGTCAGCCACCGATTGTGCAAGTTCCCCCACTTAAAATGATGACAGAGGTCAGTAATTTGCACCAG